ACCAAAAAAAAAAAAAAAAAAAAAAAGTGATAACAGTGATTGCTTCTGGAAAGGAGCCTAGGATGGAGGAGTGGTCAAAGTGGTCAAATTTTAGTTCATCTGTATGGTTTTGATTTGATTAATTTGGAATTTACTACATTGACTCCATGATTTCCTCCAATCAAAGAGAAATCTCTGGTATTTAAAAACAACAGAGGGTTTCTTTCTTTTATCCAAGAACATTGCTGTCCTTTTTTAGCAGCTGAATGCACAATTCATTGTTCATTGTACATGTATTTGCAATTAAAGTAAAAGTTCATATTTGCAACTAAAATTAATCACCATTTCATGGCCCAAGATGGGATGAAATTTAATGAAAATATAAATAATTTAAGATTCAATAGTATAACTTTCTGGAGATATTCAACCTAGAGTAACTGAAATTGAGGGAACACAACAAAGGAATTTTACATAGTTGGGGGACCTACAGATATTAGGCAGTAAGCTGTCGATACTCTAAATCTACAAATTAAGGTGCTTGGGGATCAATTTCTGATTTACCTTTAGACTCGGAATCATTCTTTCTTCGTTAGCAAGAGTTTTTGGTTAGCTTGTGTAACAGGTTGTCATTTGGAAACAGGAGTAGCAGTTGCCTTTAGATATGTTCAGATATGCAATTCGTGATAATTCTGAACAAAAATTGGTAACCTTTTAATCTTTATTTCCTAGACATTAAAATATGTGTCCTTTGTGGATGAACCCCACATCAGGATGGTAAACCAAAGGCTACTTGGGAGAAGTCTGCAAGATGTTGAAGGTGAAGAAGTGCCAGTAAGTTATTTAGTCTTTTTTTTTTTTCTCGGTCACGCCACGCAGCATGCAGGATCTTAGTTCCCCAACCAGGGATCGAACCCGTGTCCCCTGCAGTGGAAGCGCAGAGTCCTAACCACTGGACCGCCAGCAAATTCCTGTAGTCTTTTTTTCTTTTTTAAGAGAAAACTTACTATTTTATTTATTTATTCTTGGCTGCATTGGGTCTTCGTTGCTGCGTGCTGGCTTTCTCTAGTTGCGGCGAGCGGGGGCTGCTCTTCATTGCGGTGCGTGGCCTTCTCACTGTGGTGGCTTCTCCTGCTGCAGAGCATGGGCTCTAGGCGCACGGGCCTCAGTAGTTGCGGCACACGGGCTTAGTTGCTCCGCGGCATGTGGGATCCTCCCGGACCAGGGCTCGAACCCGTGTCCCCTGCACTGGCAGGCGGATTCCTAACCATTGCGCCACCAGGGAAGCGCAAAACTTACTATTAAATATAAATATATCTAGAAATGTGTATAAATCACAATTGATGACAAAGTAAACCACATGTAACAAGCACCCAGATTTTAAAAGTGACTATTACTAGCAGAAGTCCCTTTTATGCCTCCAAATTACTACCTTCCCTTAAAAGTAGTCATTATCCTGTATTCAAGGTTAGTTTTACCTCTTCTAGAATTTTTTTATTTTTATAATTTTTTTATTTTTATAATTTTTTTAAAATTTTAATCCTATAGTATGTATTCATTACATACTCTGTTGAGTGTCTGGCTTCCTTCCCTCAATATTATTTTTGTGAGAGTCATCCATGATGTGTATAGCAATGGTTCATTCTCGTTGTATAATTTCCATTTTATAAACATTCAATTTATTTATCCATTCTATTGTTGAATGAACTACCTATTTGGGTAGTTTCCACTTTGGGGTTCATGCCAATGATGCTGCTATAGTAAAGGTACGGCACCTAAGAGTGGAACTGCTAAGTCATAAGGCAGGTGTGTGTTCAGCTTTAGTAGATACTACCTAACAGTTCTCTGAAGTGGGTGTTCTTTTTTTTTTTTTTTTGCGGTACGCAGGCCTCTCACTGTTGTGGCCTCTCCCGTTGCGGAGCATAGGCTCCGGACGCGCAGGCTCAGCGGCCATGGCTCACGGGCCCAGCTGCTCCGCGGCATGTGGGATCTTCCCCGACCGGGGCATAAACCCGCGTCCCCTGCATCGGCAGGCGGACTCTCAACCACTGCGCCACCAGGGAAGCCCTGAAGTGGGTGTTCTAATTCACATCCCCCCCATCAGTTATGGCTGCTGGACATCTTCACTAACTGCGTTAGTTTTCTACAGCTGCCATAATAAATGACCACAAACTAGGTAGCTTGGAACAACAGAAAGTTATTCTCTCACAGTTCTGGAGGCCAGAATTCTGAAATCAAAGTCTGAAATCAAGGTGTCAGCAGGGCTGTGCTCCCTTTGAAGGCTCTAGGGGAGGTTCCTTTCTTGCTTCTTCCAGCTCCAGGAACTTATTACACCCGTTAGGATGTCCAGTACAATACTGAATAGAAGTGATAAGACCAAGCATCTTTGTCTCATTCCCTATCTCAGAAAGAAAGTTTTTATTTCACTATAGTACTTGCTGTAGGTCTTTTTATTTTTTCCAGCCTCGCCCCATGTCTTGCGGGATCCTAGTTCCCAGACCAGGGATTGAACCCGGCCCACCACAGTGAGAGTGCCACGTCCTAACCACTGGACCACCAGGGAAGTCCCTGCTGTAGGTTTTTAAAGAATGCTCTATCAGATTAAGAAAATTCCCCTCTGCTCCTAGTTTACTAAGAATTTTTATCATGAATGGATACTGAATTTTAAAACAACATGTTTTTTCTGCTTCTTTCCAAATAATCAATGAGTTTTCTTTTCTTCTGTCATGTGGTGCATTACACTGATTGGTTTTCAATATTAAGCCAACCTTGCAGGAATCTGCAATAACATCAGTTTGAGTGCGATGTATGATTCTTTGTATTTACTGCTGGATTCAATTCACTAATATTTAAGAATTTTACATCTCTTCTTGAGAGAGTCTGGCCAAAATTTTTCCACTCTTGTAATGTTTTTATCAGATCTGGGTATAAAGTGAACTCCTGTGTGTTGGGGTGGGTGTGGTAATATACACATAACCTAAAATTTACCATTTTAATCATTTTAAAGTGTGAAGTTCAGGGACTTCCCTGGTGGTCCAGTGGTTGGGACTCCGTGTTCCCAATGTGGGGGGCCCGGGTTTGATCCCTAGTCGGGGAGGTGTATCCCACATGCTGCAACTGGAAGAGCCCACGTGCCGCAGCTAAAGATCCTGCACGCTGCAGCGAGGATCCTGTGCACAGCAGCGAGGATGCCGTGCGCTGCGGCTGGGAGCTGGCATAGCCAAATAAATAAATAAATACATAACTTTTTTAAAGAGGAAAAAAAATAAAGTGTACAGTTCAGTGACATTTAGCATATCCACAATGCTGTGCAACCATCACCACTATCTAGCTCCAGAGCCTTTTCACACCCCAAAAGGAAACCTTGTATCCATTCAGCAGCCACTACTCACTCACTTCTCCCCAGCCCCTGGCAACCACTAATCTGCTTTCTGTATACATGGATTTACCTATTCTGGACATTTCATGTAAATTGAGTCATACAATATTTGTCCTCTTATGTCTGGCTTCTTTCATTTAGCATAATGTCAAGGTTCCATCCATGTTTAGCTAAACATCCATGTTTAGCATTTGTCAGCACTTCATTCCTTTTTATAGCTGAATAATAGTCCATTGTATGAACATAACATTTTTTTAATCCATTCATCCATTGACAGACACTTAGGTTATTTTCACCCTTTGGTTATTATAATAGTGCTGCTGTGAACATTCATGTATAAGAACCATTCAATTTTAATGTATTTAACTCAGACTTTCTTTGTCTGGTGAATGAAGGTATACGTCACAAAGAATAGACATAAATGATGGCAATTATGGCAACTTCCACTGGAGGATAACAAATGGATTTTTTTCAGAAAAGAGAGCATGGTGAGAAAAGAGAAAGCAGAGCTAAGTCAACAAATATTTACTGTCTACTATGTGTCGGCACTGTCCTAGGCATTGGGAATACAGGCAGTAAACAAAGCAAACAGGGCCCCTGCTTTCATGTGGAAGAAGAATCATTAAGTAAACATATCAACTCATAAGATCATTTCCTCATAACAAACATAGAACATCATTATGTGATAAGAGAATGACCTGGGAGGAGGGGAACTACCTAGATCAGGTGGTCAAGGCAAGAAGGTCTCTCCGAAGAGATACATGTATTGAGGCCTGGCTTTTCTGAATTTCACTTTCCAAATCTGTAAAATGGAGATCAGAACATATATCTCACGCGGCTCTCCAAAAGCTTAAATGAGGCAATGCTTGCAAAACACAGTCCTGATATATACATTTAATAAATGATAGCTACTAGTATTAATGTAATATTAAATGTATTTTATAAGTTAATAATAAAGTTAAAGAACCTAGAACCCTAGGGGTTGTCAGTGCTGATGGGTTTGGAAACTTGCCTTTTTCAGAGACCCCCGATGGACTTCACAGACTTGTCCAGGCTGCCTCTGTCTCTTCACGAGCCACCCCCCATTCCTGGACAACCAGAGGCTATCCAGCTGCTCAGTGAAGGGGCAACCCCTAGATCCAGTGACTGCCCGAATTGGTGCCAGTGCGGAAAGTGCCTCCCATCCCAACTCCCTGAGAGACAAAGATGCTTGGAGGAGCTGTGCTGTCGGAAAAAGCTGGGTGCCTGTATCACCACCTCAGAGCCGTTCAAGAAGCTTATCCTGTCCAGACATGTCCTGCAGTTCCTCCTGCACTACCAGGAGCCCTTGCTGGTGCTGGATGCAGATTCTACCAACAGCCAGCTGCGGCACTGCGCCTACAGGTGCTATACTACGTGGCGCTTTGGCTCCCAGGACTTGGCTGACTTTGCCATCCTGCCCAGCTGCTGCCGCTGGAGGATCCGGAGAGAGTTTCCCAAGAGGGAAGGCCAGTACAGTGGCTTCAAGAGTCCTTAGTGATGTGCTGAGCAGTCATATAACATTGCTTTGCTTGCACCTTGAGCTTGACCTGCAAAGATGTGTGTCCAGATTTTCAGCCAAAGGGAAATGTGCTTTCCTCCTCCACCAGCTCTGTTTGTGTCAGAGAGCAAAGCGACCAGGGTAAACAAACAGCAAATAAACTAGAATCCCTCAGCATGGACTGAGAGTCAAGAGATTCAGATTTATATCTCCATTCTATCCCTAGGAAGTTGTGTGATCCTAGGCCTTTAACCCCTGTACCTCAGTTGCCTTATTATCCAATCTATTGTTTCACAGGGATATTAGGAGAACAAATCGAGACAGTGTACACAAACTCTCTTATTAACGCATAAAGAGCTACAAGAATATGAAGCAGCTCGTTTTGAGGTGAGACTAGGATAATGTCCAACTATCAACAAACTCTTGGGTCCTGGTTAAAGAATGGGGAGGATTAAAAGTTTTGGCACAAATTTTTTGGCATTTGTCCTATAGGACCTGAGGGGTTATATCTCCTCCCCTTGTGTCTTGGCAGCTCTGATCACTTTATTCAATGCTAAGTGATGCTGTGTCAGGTTCGGGGTCTTGGTCTTAAGATGCTGTCAGCTTCCACTTCCTGTCCCTTGAAACTCTTGCTGTGAAGGAAGCAAGCTCCCATGTAAAAATCTGCCTATCCTGAGTCCACCCTGCTGTGAAGAAGCCCAAGCAGCCATGTGAAGAGGAGAGGTGCCCCCAGCATTCAAGCCACCCAAGCCCATGGGAGAGAAGGCTTCCGATGATTCCAGATCCTGCTCACATATGACCGCAACTGCATCAGACAACCCAAGTGAGAGCTACCCAGTGAAGCCACAGAACAAAAATTGTTATTTTAGGGCTTCCCTGGTGGCGCAGTGGTTGAGAGTCCGCCTGCCGACGCAGGGTACACGGGTCCGTGCCCCGGTCTGGGAAGATCCCTCATGCCGCAGAGCGGCTGGGCCCGTGAGCCATGGCCGCTGAGCCTGCGCGTCTGCAGGATTTCCGTTTCAAGGTTTCGGCACTCGAACGGACTATTTCTAAATGACAACTATTTTAAAGAATAAATAGAGAACATTATTCAAAACTGTGACTAATGAAGGATCTGTGCGTTTTTAATACATATTCTAAGATTTACCATTTTGACACTTTTTAAAAGTCATCAGCTTTCTACTGTTTTAATGTAAGATAATATGAACAAAAACCTTCTTTTCTGGTCCCAGGATTTCACCTGGCTTTAAACTCAGGAATCAAGTTAAGTGGGCCAGATTTAACTCTCATTTTTCCTACCTTTCAGAGATATTTTTGAAAAGTGAATTATATATGACTTCTTCAGAAGTGAACATTTTTACTCCAAGAATTCTATGTAACTGCTACAGATTTCCATTCTGATAGCCTCTGAGCCTTCATATGTTATTTTTTGATGCCTTCCCCCCTAGTGTGTTTCTATCACCTTGTGGAGACCCCAGATGGAGTCAGCATTTGGAATGACAAATAATCGCTGGATCCACCTGTTGTTTTCACCTTTCCCAGATGCTCTGGGTGAGAAGGTGAGAGGGTGATGTGTTACATTAACTATGTGCAAAATGTCTGACACTTCCTACAACAGCATGCGTCATATTTATATTCTTATTTTTGGTCTACAGTAGAAAACAGTGTCATCGCCAAAGGCATCCCAAGGAAAGTCACATTTTGTAGGATCTGTTTTTTCTACTTAAATCCATTCTCCTGTTATAGTAATTGCACAGTATTCACTGCTTCATCTCTGTACTGGAGATCTGCTTTCTTGTAACACTGCCTGATTTGATGTAGCATTGGTTATGGATTTGCATTCCTCTCTTTAGAGGGAACCATTTTTTAAAAACTTCCTAATTCTAGCTTGGCAATGTAGATGTCTTAACAGTTTTGATAATAAAAAAAAATAATGTGTAATTCACGTTTACCAAAGTATTCCTTTTACTTTCTTTTCTCAGAAGATCCCCAGATCAGTTAGCTCATTCACTGACACATTCATTCAACATACTGAGGCACTTTGACATACAAAGATATGTTTTTAGTCTCTGCCCCCAGTTCCTAACACAGAGCTCCTAAATCCCCTGGAATTTAGAACTGTCTTGTGTTCTAATGAGGCCACTCTTGGTGGGCTCCTGGATAACTTCAGGAAGGGGGCTGGTCACCAGAAAGACCAAGCCATGATTAGAAGCTTAGAACTTTCAGTCCTACCACCTTATCCTCTAGAGTGGGGAGGGGTTGGAAATTGAGTTAATGATCGATTTTGACTATGTGATAAAGCCTCCATAAAAATCTCTACACTGTGGGGTTAAGAAAGCTTCCATATTGATGAATACATCCACATTTCAGGGGGGTGGTACACCCCTAACTCCACAAGGACAAAAGCTTCAGCACTCAGGACCCTTCTGGCCCTCACTCTATGTAACTCTTCATCTGGCTGTTCATCTGTATCTTTTAACATATCCTTTATAATAAATGGGTAAATGTAAGTGTTTCCCTGAGTTCTATGAGCCACTACAGCAAATTACTGAACCTAAAGAGGGGGTTATAGGAACCCCCAATTTATAACCAGTTGGTCAGAAGTACAGGTGACAACCCTGGACATGACTGGTGTCTGAAGTGGGGGACAGTCTTGTAGGACTGAACCCTTAACGTGTGGGGTCTATGCTAACTCCAGGTAATTAATGTCATAATTGAATTGCAAGACACCCAGTTGGTGTCTGGAGAGTTGGAGAATTGGTTGGTGTGGGAAAACCCCACACACATTTGGTGTCAGCAGTATTACGAGTAGAGTATAGGTAAACAGGAATTTTCTTTTAGGCACTTACTAGAGATCAATGATAAATAAGGTTGCCACTCTCATGGAGATGTGAGGAGATGGACATTAATCAAATAATTCAAACAAATATAAACTTGTAACTTATGATGAGTATCATGATGAAGAAGGTAAAAGATGCTCTGAGAGCCTATAATAGGGGAACTTGACCTATTTGGAGAAATCAGAGAAATCTTCCCTGAGGAAGGAGCTCTTCAGCTGAAATTTGAAGGATAAGTTCTAGATAACTATGTGAGTTGGGGAGGAAAGAGCATTCTAGGCCAAGACAATAGCATGTGCAAAGGTCCTGGGGCTGACAAAAAGCATAGAAGGTTTGCAGAATTTAAAGGAGACCTGTATGCCTGCTCCATAAATAGTATGGGGAAGTGAGGAATGAGATAAGACTGGACAGGCAGGGGTTGGACTGCATAGAGCCTTGAAGGTCATGGCAAGGAGTTTTGTCTTTATCTTAAGAAAGACCAATGGAGACCCATTGAAGGGTTTTAAGTAGGAGCCTGGTAAGATTATATTTCATTTTTAAAAGATCATTCTGATCGCCAAGAGTGGTGGTAGATATAGTTTTAATTTTCATTTCAGTCTTTCCCTTCTCTGTGAAACACGTGTCCTA